CTAGTCATTCCTTTACTACCTTATAGGTTTAAAAAAGGTCACTAGCCCTTTAATCACGTGCATTTAAAAAACATTTTTATTAGGTTTCAACATCACTTTTATAGTTGTTTCGTTTACATAATATATGGTTTGCAAATTTTTGCAACTTTTTAGCCCCTAAAAATTTAAGCGTTGTTCCTCATACTATCTTTCACACTTGTTCATATTTATGTTCCTAACAACTTATCCTAATATTTGATTTCAATATTTAGCCTTTTGTATCATACATAATGTTTCTAAGTTTGCAACAAAGTTAGGAATCAAATTTTACTTGTGTGGTTTATTTTTATTTTTTCCCCTCCTTATTACGTTATGTGTAAATATACAGTTAAACATGGTTGTGGTTTATTTTTATTTTTTTCCCCTCCTTATTACGTTATGTGTAAATATACAGTTAAACATGGTTAGTGTCTTTACTTTTGAAAAAAAATAAAATATGGTTAGTCTTTTTTTTGAAGACATGATTTTCTTATACATTAGATTACACAACTATTATTAATTTAGAAGAATCCTATATAACATTGGTTTTTAATTATGATTACAATTTTGCCATTAAAAATATATCAAACATAAGGTAATCCGTTAATTTTTTTTACAAAAATAACTCCTCATTTTACAATAGTATAGATGAGGGTTACTTGAAATTGAAAACTTCATTTGAGTACTCTTTTTTTTTTTTGCAATTAATCATCTGTAGGATCATCTCTAAACTTGTCAGACATGTATAAATTGATCATACTTTTTATGTGCCCATCATATCCTGGCACTAATGATGCATTCTTTTTTAAGCAACTAATTGTTTCTATATTGTTTTGCAGGTTGTTCCACCGAGTCAATCCCGTAAAATCTATCACGCTTTGAAAGAAAAAGGTTTGCCTGTTGCCCTTGTGGAGTATGAAGGGGAACAACATGGTTTCCGCAAGGTAACCTCACCATTTTATTAGTTTGCTCACTTTTTTGGCGCTTTGAATTTTATCTGACGAGATTCAATCAATATATTTTGTGCAGGCTGAGAATATCAAGTTCACTCTTGAACAGCAGATGGTGTTCTTTGCTCGTCTGGTCGGGCACTTCCAAGTTGCGGATGACATCACTTCCATTAAGGTGGATAACCTCGACTGAGTTGTGGTAATTACTTTTCATCTACTTCTCTTCTATCGCATTCTCGTGTGTTAGATCTGGCCCAATGTCTCTGAATGGCACACTAGGGTTCACCCAAAATCTCATTGCAATTTTAGGCGTTCCTCATAATCCGATGGGGTTTTTTTATGCCTATGTAATCATAGATTTCAAACAGTTGACGTGTAGGTGCTGATTTAATCCTACTTCAAGGACTACTTTGTAATACGTATATCACACATCTCATTTTCATGAATTGCTCGTGGAATAAGAACGGATAATACCTGTGGGCTTTGGAAATTATACTGAACTTTAAGAGTTGTTGAATAATTAGTGGGATAATGTGGCTACTTGACAATTGACTCCAATAATACGCATCGACAAATGAAAACTTCTTGTTTGGAAATCAAAATTCTGAGCACGCATGTGTTGAAATGTCATGGCAATACACATGCTCTATGATGCCAAATAAGGTAAATTGCACCAAACCCTCCTGTGTTTAACGAAATGTGCGCGTTTCTCCACTGTGTTTTAAAAACTGTACCAGATCCCCTTGTATTTAAGTAACCGATGCAAACGCTCCCGTTTTTTAATTTTCTATTAACGGTGTTAATTTTTATACAAAAACTCTGTTATATCCTTCGAATATTATATATATATTTACGATAAATTGAAATTCTCGCGATATATTCAATATATCGCGAGAAATTAAATTAAAGAAAAATGCCGCCTCATTGGTTCGAACCTGAGACCAAGTTCAAGCTAGGCAATGCAAACAGCGGCTGCACCACTAATGCTTTAGTGTTAGATGAAGTAAAGTTTAATATAAATTACATTACCAAATGAAATTGAATTTAGAAGATAATGTAAATAATAAATTAAATTATTAAAATTTAAACATATGATAAATTAAAATATAAAAAACCAAATTATATAAAATTAAGAGAAAAAAATATAAAAATAACTTATTATATTAAAAAAAAACAACAATAATTAAAATAAATTATTAATAAATTTAAAGATTAAAGTTAAAATAATAATATTTATTGTATTTACATTTAGATTATTTTATATTTTATTATTTATTTAATTTATATTATTCCATATTATTTTATTGCATTGTTCATTTTATATTTTTTTATTTAACAAACTTTGTTTATTTTGTTTATCTTAACATAATGTAATAAAATTCATATAAATTTTACTAATAAAATTAAAAATTGAAATTATTTTAGCTTCGGTATGTCTGTCGAATGCACCATCTGTGTTTAGCTTAACCCAAGGAGGCTTGTGTTTCAGCAAACAATGGTCCTGGGTCGTGGGTGCTGGACAGGCCTAGGGGGTGGTGGCCTCAGGCAATGGGGCGGTGTACAACCTGTCCAGTCTCTCGTCGTGAGTCTGCCCAAGGCGGTGAGGAGAGAAAGGTGTCTGTCAACCTGCAAAATGATATGAGAGCAAGAAAATATAATATCCCTATGGTTCGTGTTATTCCTTTCTGTCCAGGTGGACCACAGGATCAGACAAGGAATAAGGAAGCCCACGTGTCTAGTGTGTTTGCGATGTTAGAAAAACCTCAGGAGCTCAAAAAAATTTTCTGTAGTGGGTTGGGGTATATGACTATATTTGGAATAGTGCTCCCAACTCTCCTCACAGTCTCACTCTCAAGGAAAAGATGGGCGAAAGTCTCGGTCTCAACACTACAATGGCAACGGGAGGGGAAGGAGAATCCTCTCGCCTGCATCACAGTATCAATGGGTATGCACCGTAATAGGAGGCGCCACAAAAAGACGGAAATGGTTAGAGTGAGAAGGTCGGTCCAGATGGCCCGAAGAGAAGGTTAGGCCGGTTACTCAGCCGCACATCTCCCCAGGCCGTGGACATAGAGGATGTAAGTCTCCACTCATGCCGTCCGAACCTCCCTCCAAGATGGGAATCTGTCGGATCTGGTCAATCTCAAGACTACTGAATCCCCCACCCTCACCTAGAATATCCTCCATCTTATCTCTATCCCAACAACCCCCCGTCCAAAGGTCCTTCACCTGCATGAAAGGTAGATGAGTGACCGACCTAGTACTCGAAAGGGGGGGCCTCACCTAACCACCACTCATCCCAGAAACTAACCTCCCCAGACTCCAAAGTCCAAAAAATGTGCTTCTGAGCACGCCTGCCGACAATGGTGAGCCGTCTCCACTGTCGACTGTCCCGAGCAGTGGCCGTCAACCTGCAAGGATGGGCAGCTCCACCAGGGCAATACTTTCGAAGGAGGTATTGGGGCCCATAGAGATTTGCCTTTCCTGAAGCGCCACCACATCCTGTAGGAGAATGCAGTGACAAACATCCGAGAAGCGCCGAATCCCGAGACCACCCTCCGAATGGGGGCGACAAACAGAATCCCACTTCACCCAGTGGGTCTGCCGCCGTCCCCGCGAGCCCTCTCCAGAGCTCCAAAAATAGCGGGCTAAGATCTGATCTAGCTCGTGAATCGTAGACTGATGGGGGTCGAGCACCGCGAGAAGGTGAAGAGGGAGGGCACAAAGAGTGCTCTTGATCAGAGAAAGTTGACCCCCGAAGGATAGGTGTTTATGCGACCAACAAGAAATCCGATCAATCATCCTCTGACGGACGTCAATGAAAAGCTCATGAGAGAGATGACCCTTGTACAAAGGTGCCCCAAGGTAAGGGATGAGTAAGTCTCCCCGAGCAAAACCAGTGCGCTCGTGGATCCTGTGAGCCTACTAATCTACAATGTGGTGGTCCATGATAAAAGTGCTCTTGCTAACACTGACCAGATGGCCAGAGGTCTCACTATATGGTCCAGAAGACTCATGAGATCGACTAGCCCATTATCATTCGCACGAGTAAAAATGATAATGTCATCCGCATAAGAGAGGTGGGATATGGGAGGTCCACGACCACGCGTGCTGTAGGTCATCCTCGGAAAGTCGCGAATGAAACCGTCAAGGCAGCGAGAGAGGTAGTCAGCCATCAGAACAATAAGAGAGGGGGATAAGGGGTCCCCCTGAGGCAGACCACAGATAGAGGGGAAGAAGGTCGTGGGGCTACCATTAATCAAAACAGAGAACGTGCAGTGTTCCACAGACGCCTCAACAAAGCTAATCCAACGGTTGGGGAATCCCATCCGAAACAGTACCCCTTGAGAAAGGCCCACTCGACCCTATCATATGCCTTGCCATGTCTAGCTTCAGCACGAGGTTCCGGGTTCGTGTTCGATTCGCATGAGAGCTATCGTGAATCATCTCCTAGGCCAAAAGTACATTATCACTAATGACTCGATCCTTGATGAATCCACTCTGGTTCGGAGAGACAAGGTAGGGGAGAAGAGGGGCGAGCCGCCCGTTAAGGATCCTAGAGATGAGCTTGTTAGTCACATTGCATAAGCTGATAGGTCTATAGTCGGACCAGGTCTCTTAGGGATCAAAATGATAGAGGTTGCTGTGAAGGACTCTGGCATCTTTTGCCGACTCTGAGACGATGAAGAGTACAGTTGATGAAGTTTGTCTGAACACCACAATCTAATGGGCGGATAGATTTGGCCTGGTGACCAGAAAAGAAATCCCTCACAGCTTCTTCAACGTCAGTTCCCACAATCTCCTAGCATGATTGGAAGAAGAGGGACGCGAAACCATCCGGCCCAGAGACACTGTTGGGATCAATCTCAAACATAGCCTCCTGGACCTCCTCC